AATTTCAATATTTATAATTTTTTTAATTCTTAAATTATGAATTCTTTTATAAAAAAATAAATTATATTATTTTTAATGAAAATTATAATAAAAATTCGAAACTGACAACAATTGTTCATTAAAAAAAAATAAAGGAGGTGATTAATTATTTTTGTTCTCATTGTTTTCTTAGTTTAAATTATCAAATCAAATGGTATAAACTAAGTAAAATTTTGTGAGGATCCTATGAATGTTTGCATATAATAAATTTCATTTATCATAGATATTTCACCTACCATTATTTGTTGGATTGGTGTATACAAATCTTGGTATTTATAACTAGGTTTTAAATCTACCAATGGTCAACATTTAACGAAGGATAAACATAATAGGATTTATCTTCTTTTTGCTTAAACCACAACCTAGTCTAATCATATACTATATGTAAAACTATAACAAAAGTCATCTAAATTAGAATATTTCAACTCTCCACATATTTATTTTTAACTTATCTATGCAAAAAAAAAAAAAAATAAGGGAGAATTCGTATTATACTTTCGAATCCAAAACCCAAAATTTGACTTCTTAAGTATAAAAAAATTTTAATTTTTTTTTAATTTCTTGTGTTTGTAAATACTCATTAAAATTTTGATAACGAATGCATTACTTTAAAATCAACAAAATTTTTATAATAATATAATTAATGTATTGTTTTATTTTAAAATTTGGTGAGAGTTTAATATTAAGTAATATTTTTTAAAATAAAATTTTAATTAATATTCACACATTTTTATAAACATTGGTTAACCAAAATTTTTTTTCTAATTATTAGTATCACAATTACTAATTTTCATGGCTCTTATCTATCAAATTCAGAAAATAGAAATATTAATTTAAATAACAATAATTGAGTTTGAATTTGAATTCTATCATATTTTTAGTGAAAAATAATTAAATTTATCGTACTATCAATCAAATTTAAATATTAATTTTAATAAAATTTATTCAATATAAATTTTTTATAAAATATTTTAATTATAATTATAATAATAATTATTATTATTATTTTTTTAATTTCATCAAAAATAATTTTACCATTCATCTGAACCAAAAGAATATTAGTAAAGAGCATTATTAATAAATTAATGCAAGAAAGATGAATTAATACGGCGGGACAGGTGGCAACGTTGCCACCCCCGCACTGTCGGTGTCGATTGTTTTGTAAAAAAACAAAAACGAAAACAAATGATGGGATCAACCTTGTGTGTCGATGAAAATATAAAATATAATTTTTTAATTTTATTAAATTTATTATTTTATATTTATATCATTTTAATATTATATCATTTTATCCTATTTTAAATTATTAAATTTCATTAAATAATCATAAGTCAGCCTACTCCTAGTAGTCCCACGTAGGGGTGTAAATGATACATTAGTACTCGCAAGTTACTCGGATTCGATTCGAAAAAAACTCGAATTCGATTCGATTATTGTCGAGTCGAGCTCGAGCTCGAGTAGCTCGACTTACCGATCGAGCCGAATTCGAGTATTCTTATATCTGACTCGAGTAGCTCGCGAGCCTAATCGAGCTTTTATATTTAAATATATTTTTATTTTTTTTAATTAATAAAATATTTCGAATCCGAGTTCGAGTTCGAGTTCGAGCATGAATAATCGAACTCTTGTCGAGTATACGAATCGAGCTTATTTTTACATATTAATCGAGCTTAATCGAGCGAGCTCGAGTAGCTCGAATTCGATCACGAATCGAGCTCGAGCTTGAAAAATAAAACTCGATCGAGCTCGAACCGAGTATCGAGCCCGAAGTTGTGAGTCGAGCTCGAGCTCGAGCTTCTCATTACTCGGCTCGGCTCGGCTTGTTTACAGCCCTAGTCCCACGCGACAAAAGTAGCCCATCGATAGAGCCGTAAGGCACAATGTCATCACTTTTAACTATTTTAAAATTTGCCCCTTTTTCTATAAATTCAAAAAAAAATTTCTTTATCGTTGGCGACTCACGCCCGTTGTGAATGTTTAATTTAGGAGTCGATTGGTATTATTATGTGTTTTATATTTTATAATTTTGAATATTTTATTTTATTTTTAATTTATTGAATTTGAAAATATATTTAGATAAAATATTTTTGTTTTAAAAATATAAAAAGAAAAATGTGTAAAACAAGGTGGTTAAAACTTTAAGCTCTATTTATTATTAATAATATAATAATATTAATATAATAATTATTATTAATATATTATTAATATAATATTTATATAATAAAATATTATTTTATTAATATAATAATTATAATATCACTGTAACGATTTAATTATAATTTTATAAACAGTGTCTGTGCGATAACAATATAAAATTGTTTCAAAAAAAGTGAAAATATTATTTTTCTGTTTTCAACAATTTACAAAATTTTCGAAACTTTTGCTTTCAATTTTCAAAAATAAAAAACTAAAAAAAACTAAAAATTAAAACAAAAAAAATAGAAACGTTACTTTATTTTTTATATATGAAATGGTAAGAGATTGAATCTTCCATATTAAGATTAAGAGTTTAACATTTTATTATCAAATCACATAATTATTGTCTTTTAATTTTTTTTAATTTGCTTGTCTTTTATGTGGAATTAGGGTTAATTGTATATGTGAATATAAATGTACTTTCTTAGACAAAATTTGTATATATTTTCATATATATATATATGCAATAAAAATGGAGCAATAATAATTTTTTTATTTGGGAAAAAATGAAAATTTAAACAGTGAAAACATGTATTAATTACTGAACTAAATATTCGAATATGCACAATAATAATATTTTTTGAACACTTTTAGACATTTGTAAAAAAAAAAAATTAAGTGATTTTCTTATGTTATAGAAAAAGTAAAAAAAATTAAAAATTAAAACTAAAATTTTTGTGGTGTTCATGGTATATCCCAAGAAGAATATTGAGATCTATATCTAATATATGCTATTAGGTATAAAATAATTGATCAACTTTGAAAATTAATTCACATGAAGATGAAAATATATATTAAATTTGATAACTTTCATATTATATATATAATTACATATTTGTGTTTGGCCATAGGTTTCATTACTTGTTAGTCAAAATCTTCATTTTTCTTTTTCATGATAGTTCACATATGATTTTTTTTTTCTTGTAGGCAATTTCTTTTCTCTAATGTCAATGGTGCAATATTAATTGAAGAATATACAAGAAGATTTTGCTATACATAATTAGCTTATCTTCTATAAAAAATTAGCAATTATAAAAGCTTGCAATTTTAATTATCAAAATGTTTTTAATTAATTAAGCCGTCATGATTGGAGGTATAAATGATACATTAATACTCGCAAGCTACTCGGGTTCGATTAGAAGAAAACTCAAATTCGATTCGATTATTATTGAGTCGAGCTTGAGTTTGAGTAACTTGACTTATCGATCGAGCCGAATTCGAATATTCTTATATCCGACTCGAGTAGCTCGTGATCATAATCGAGCTTTTATATTTAAATATATATTTTTTTATTTTAATTAATAAAATATTTCGAATTCGAGTTCGAACTCGAGCATAAATAATTTAACTCTTGTCGAGTATATGAATCAAATTTATTTTTACATATTAATCGAACGAGCTCGAATAGCTCGAATTCGATCACGAATCGAGCTCGAACTTGAAAAATATAGTTCGATCGAGTATCGAATCGTGAGTTGTGAGTCGAGCTCGAATCCGAGCTTTTCACTGTATCGACTCGATTCGACTCGATTATACCTTTAATCATGATATTTTATTCATCTATGTATCATTTTTTTTTCGCGAAGATAATGAACTGGGGTGGGGAAGATTGGAGAATTTCACCTAGATATGGAAATGTTCATTGCTTATATGCTTTTCTTTTTTTGTCCTACTCTCAAAAATAATTGAAAATCACATCATTTGGTAGTTCAAAGAATAAATTCTTGAAAGGTGGTGTTTTAATGCTCCTTTCTTTGTTTTTGGTAAAGTGTTGTTTTAGGGTTTATCTTGTTGCAATAAAGCTAGGCTGCACAGATAGCTTATGTTTCTTCAATGGAGGCTTAAATCTTTATATTTGCTTTCCCTTTTCATTTTTTTTTATCTTGCATGATTTTGCAAACAATAATCAAAGCCAAAATCATGGGTTGTTATATGATTAATTTAAGTTAAGATCGTCTGAAAAGAAAATTAAATTCTAACAAAACATATTGTATTGTATTTTTCTTTTGAATATATGAAAATTTTGAGGTGTTTCAATTTGAACAATCTGAATTTTTTTGTTGGGTGATGGTTGCATTAAAAAAAAAAAAAAAGAAGCTTTTGATTATGATTGGTTTCAATTGCAATAAATTTTTTGATGAAGGTTCCCTTGCATGATTTTGTCAAAAGTTTGTAATTAGCTGCCAAAGCCTCAAAGCCAATGCCACTTGTATTTTGAAAAAGTTTACAATCTCATGCATGCAAATGCAAATAAATAAATTAATCAAATTGATTGAATTGATAAAAATTAAATATTTTTATAAAGTATATTTAAATTCGATTTTTATTATCAATAATTCTTTTGTAATAAAAAATTTAAAAATTTAATAAAAATTGTAGTTAAAATTTTTGGTACGTCCTAATTTTAAAATAAGATAATCCATCTTCATCTAATCTTTTTAAAGAAAAGCAAATAAATATGCAATAAAAGAACTTCTCTTGAATATTACTCCTAGATTAATATATGTATCGAGTGTGTTTAATTAATATTTAAATTTAATTAATGATATAATAAACTCAATTATAAGTATGAAAGTGTAAAAGAATTAAAACCCAAACTTAATCTAACGTGTTTTCCGGAGTTTAAAAAAAAAAAAGAATTGAGTAGTAATAAAATAATAATAATGAAAGTACAAATAAGCAGAAACAAACAAAAAATAAAGAAAAAAATGAAAAAAAAAAGGAAACTAAATTAGAGGGATACGTGGCAGTTAAAAGCACTAGACGTCAAATCGTCCTTGTTACTGCTCTTTTATTCTAATAGCTCTGAGGGCCCACCCCCATCTTTCTCTCTATTTATTTTTCTCAAAATTTTTTGTTTTCATTGACCAAACCCTAAAGCCCAAGCCCCTTCTCCCCCTCTCCCTGATAAGCAAAAGAAAAAAAGAGAATGAAACATGGTGGGATTAAGTGTAGTTTTGGAGAATCAAAAGAGTAATATAATTAGTAAGAACACGACACAAGTTATTAGCAAAACAACTATGTCAATCAACAACAACAACACCAGAAGCAAAGTTTTTTCTTCCTCTTCTCAGTTAAACTACGCAGTTCCTGCTTTTCTTGAACAATGCGTTCTTTGCAAACGGAAACTCTTACCTGGAAACGACATCTACATGTACAAGTAATTTTCTTCCCTTTTTTCCTTTTTTCCTTTTTTTTTTTTTTTTGCTTTGGTTTAACCCTTTTCACTGTTTCTTGATACGAACTGTCATGTGACTGATTTGGGTGTTTTGGGGTAGAGGGGACAAGGCTTTTTGTAGCGTGGAGTGTAGGTGCAGGCAAATTTTCATGGACGAAGAGGAGAGTTTAAGGAAAGAGAACTGTTCTATGGCTGCCATTAAACCTTCAACTTCTTCTTCTTCTTCTTCTTCTTCAGCTTCTTCAGCTTCTTCTTCAGCTTCTCGCCACCAACGCAAAACTGCAAGAAACCGAGCAGGTGGTTTTGCTTATTGAGAAGAAAAACGAGCAGCCCAGAACTCAAATTCGGTTTTTCATTTAGTTTTTGTTTTGTTTCAACTGTGTTTTCTAATTTACCCTTGGCTAATTTTGTAATGGCAATCTCATCGTCTGTCATTTTGCTTCCTAGAATAAAGCCAAAAGGGCTTTTTCAATTATTTTTCCTCACCAACGAGAGGTTGGTTCAATTAGTACCATTGTTTTGTTTTGCTCGATGCGAGTGATTTTAAATTCGAATTTAATCAATATTTTGCTTGATGTGAATGATTTTAGATTCAAATTCAATTAATAAATTTTTATTAAAATTATATTAAATGTATGATATATAATAATTATTTTTTAAATCATCAAATATGATATATTTGTTTCTCATCAACAAAAGATTAGTCCAATTAGCATCATTATTTTACTTAATACGAGTGATTTTAAGTTTAAATTTAATTAATAATTTTTCATTAAAATCATATCGAATCATATTGAATGTATGATATATAATCATTATTTCTTAAGTTATCATATTTTACATAGTTTATATCATAAAGTTTTTGTGACGGTTAAGGGCATTTCTGATATTTTAGATAATGTTTAACCCTTGATTAAATTTAATCCCATTTTGGTAATTTTATTTGACAGACAAAAAAGAAAAAAACAAACCTAAAAAGGCTCATAAGAGTAATCATTTTATTGGGACCGTAAAACAATATTCGTTTGTTGTGTTCCAAAACGACAATATTTCATTAATGATGTCAACCGAGTTAAACCTGATAATTATGGAAAAATATATAATTAAAATGTATTATTTTTTTAATTTTTTATTAAATTTAAAAACATTTTTAAATAATATTTTAATTATCTTTAATTAATGTCTATAAATATCCGTTGATCTTAGGGATGGCAATCAATCCCGTTTTCGACGGATTTCGATTCGATTCGATCTTATAAGATCGGGTTTTTTAATTTCGATTTTTGTGTCAGGTCGAGTTCGAGTATGCTTAAAACTCGATTCGATCGATCCGATATTATATAAAAAATTATTTTTAAATTAATTAATTATTTATATAATTATATAATTATATTTTTAAATATTATATATTTAAAAATAATATTTTATTAATTTCGGATCGGATCGAGTATTGTTTACATAGTATCAAGTCGGATCGGAGTCAGATATAAAAAAATCGGATAAAATCGTATTCGGATATGCTAAAGCATAAAGTCGGGTCGGGTTCGGGGCGAGCAAAACCCGCCCCGAACCCGACCCGATGCCATCTCTAATTGATCCGTTAATCGAACACTTTTATTTTATTGTTTAGGGAATAAAGAATTAGTACTTCTAGTGGATAACAATGTTTAAGGATCATTAATTTGTTTTAAAATCTAAAAAAATTATTGAATAAAAATTTAATAATTATTTAAATTTATGATATTTTATTATAATTATTCAAATCTTGAATTTTTTTATTTCAGATTAATTGATTTCTTAAACATCTATTTTTATCTTAATTAAGCTTTTGATTAGAAAAAATTAATATTAATGATTAATCAATTTTAGTTTAATAAGAATTTAATTGATGAAAATAAATATTCGAGAATTTAATTAATTATAATAAAATAATAAAATTTTGGATGATTAATGAATTTTTATTTAAAGGTATTTTTAACCATTTAACCAAAATTTGTGTGTTTCTTCAAATTACCCATTCCTCCATTTGTCCATTTATTTTCTTTTAGGATTTGATCAACTAGTGTTTATAATAAGCGTTGGATTAACGAGTGCTTGTAAATATTTATTAAAACAACTAAAAATCAATAATCATGTGATTTATGGGTGAATTATTGAATTTTTAGTTTAATAATTAAAAATTAATTTTTTGCTTTTGCCAAAACTCAAAAAAAAAAAATTATTTTAAAAATATTTTTTTAATATATCATTCTCATCATGTTTAAAAATATACAACACATTGAATTCAAATTTTAACGTAATTAATTTATATAATTATTTTAAAAAGTAATATCTATTAAATTTTAATTTTAATACTTATAAATTTTTTATCTTGATATTATGATTTTTAAATAAAAAAAATAATACATTAATTATATATTTTTATAAATATTTTTTTGGTCTGAAATTTTTTTATATTCAAAAATTATTTTAAGTATTAATTAATTCGAAATCGAATCGAATCATATTTATAAGAAGTTAAATTTTTTTAAAATATTTTTTATTTATAATACTTAAAATTAAAATTTTATTTAAAAAAATTAAATTTTTTATCATTTGGACCAATAAATAATAATATATTTTTATAAATATATCCTTTAAGTTAAATGTATATAGACACTTGCCATTTTCATATTGAAACAAAAGTGTTTTGGGGTGCGTTTGTCGGTTTGCAGCAAAATAGTAAAGCTGCCTGAAGAAATTGAGTGTTTTTCTTTTTTTTTTTCAAAGCTTTTGAAGTGCTTTCTTTTTAATTCATGGGTACCCACTGTTTTCATGGGGGCGCATCTTTAGTACTGGGACACGTAGATGTGCGTTAATGACACGTAACACTTGTCAATTGGACATATTTTAAAATTTATTTGCTTTTTTAATAATTGAATAATTGTGATGTTGAATTAATCTGACCTGTCTTTCGATGTATATAAAATGTCGGAGACACTCAAAGGTTATTCAAATTGGTAAGAAAATAAGTTTTTTTATCAATTAAGTTTCAATTTTAATTTTAAATGCACAAAATCAATAGAAAAAGATACATTTTTAAAATTGTCTGAAGATGAAATCATACTTAAACAAGATAAAAATATAGATAAAATCATATTGTTTGGTTTAATTTGAATTATTTGTTTACTATGAATCAAATTTAAATAATAAATATATATTAAATTTAGATTTAATTTCGAATCGAAAACTAAAAAATTGAAAAAAAATAATTGAATCGAATTATATACTTTTATATATATTTTTAAAATTTTTATAAAATAAAAATAATAATTTTATATTAAAATCTACTTAAATACATTAAATTTTTATATTAAAATAATATATAAAAATAAAAAAATTAAAAGTTGATAAATTAAATTGAACTAAATAGATAAAATTTAGTTCGAATAGTATGAATGTTCAAATTGGATTCAAATAAGATTTTATAAATTTTTAATATTATATAATATCTGAAAGAATTAAACTAAATTTGATTCAATTCAAATCGTTATTAACTTTAACGCAAATCAAATCGTAAATAAGGAAAAATTAAAGCAAAAAAACAAGCTATGAATAAATGAAATAGAAAAAAAAAGAGTGATCTTTTTAGTTATATGAGAGAAAATATGATATTTGTACATGAAAAAGATGATATAGTTTGATCTAGGTGATTTGACCCGATATAATATTGGTCTAATATGACTAGAGGTGTAAATGATATATTAGTACTCGTAAGCTATTGGAATTCAATTCGAATAAAACTCGAATTTAGTTTGATTATTATCGAGTCAAGCTTGAGCTTGAATACCTTGACTCATTGATCGAGTTAAGTTCGAGCATTTTTATCCTCGATTCAAGCAGCTCACGAGCTTAATCGAGTTTTTATATTTAAAAATATTTTTATTATTTTAATTAATAAAATATATTAAATTCAAACTTGAGCTCCAGTACAAATAATCAAGCTTTTATTGAATATAAGAATCAAACTTATTTTTATATACTAATTGAGCGAGCTTGAGTAGCTTTATTTCTATCTTATGTTAAGTTCGAACTAAAAAAATAAAATTTAATCAAGTTCAAGTCGAGTTTTAAGCATCAAATTTTGAATCAAGCTCGAGCTTAATATTACATTAGTTTGAACTCGATCGATTATATACCTATATCTGACGTGGCTTTAAAATAATTTATGCTTATTAAAAAAAGTGTTTTTGGGTGCCTTTGTAGCAAAATAGCAAAGTTGCCTTAGGAATTTGAGTTTTTTTTTTTTTTTTTTTTTTAAGCTTTTGAAGTGTTTTCATTTTAATTCATGGGTACCCACTGTATTCATAGGGCACATCTTTAGTACTAGGGAAAGGTAGATGTTTTTTACACTATGTTTGGATATATATATATATATATATATATGTATAAAGGAAAGGAAAAGAAAAGAGAAAAAAGCTTTTTAAAAGAAAAAAAATAGTACATATACTCTTTATATGGATAGTCAAAATTAATAATAAAAAAAAAATTCTAACAACCATTGTTTGGATAAATAATAAAAAAGAAATGAAATAATTCATTATGATTTTTTTTCAATTATAACATTTTTTTTTATAAAATAACATATAATATACAAATATATCTTTTTACTACGTAATTTGTATAAACAAATCTTTTAAAATAAAATTAAAAATATTTAATATGGTAAGATATATTAGCTAGTTATTAATTTACTCTTAATTTTATATTTATTTCAGTGTTTTAATTTATCTTGATTATAATTTAGTTTGTTTTGTTGTTAAGACTAAAAAAATTATAAAATATTTATAAACTACGATATTATATAAAATACTTATAAAGAAAAATTATTTTTGTAAGAAGTGTTAGTTATATAATCAAATATAATGTTATAATAAAAATATGAATATAATAATTTTTTAATAAAAATAAATATTTTCAACTTTATTTTCCTTAGCTTTTCCCCTAAATTGGTGTATTAAAAAAATGAGGATTACAAAAGAAATCAAAAGTTATTGAGTTTTTATCTTTTTTTTTCCTTTAAATTAAAAATTTATCAAAACAAATGAAGGATTTTTCTATTTTCATTACTTTCTTTTATTTTCCTTTTCTTTCATTTCCTTCATTTCAATCCAAACATAGGGTTAATAACAATAACACTTGTCAATTGGGCATATTTTAGAATTTATTTGGTTTTTAAATAATTGGATAATTGTTAATATTGAATTAATATGAGATCTCTTTTTAATTAAATTGGCAAGAAAATGATTTTTTTTTGTCAATTAAGTCTCAATTTTAATTTTAAATGCGTAAAATTGATGTAAAAAAAATATTTTGTTTGAAATTTTTTGAAGATGGAATAAAATCCGACAAAGAATACGGATGATTTGTTGTTATTATTGTTGAAAATTGATTTAAGGACAAACATATGAGAAAAAAGAGAAAGACATTAAGACAAAAGTTCAAAGTTGACTCGATGTTTATGTTTCAACGCTTAACTTAAAGTGTGAAAAAAGAAAAGAAAAGCAAAAATTAAGCTAAAAATAAATGAATGAAAAATTAGTAGTTTTTTTTTTTTTTTGTTATTCAAGAAAAAACATATATGAAAAGATGATGTAGTCGAATCTAAATGATTTGATTTGATGTAGTATTGATCCGATTTGACATAACCTTAAATAATTAGATAATTGGTAATGTTGAATTCATATGATATCTCTTTTTAGTTAAATTAGTAAGAAAAAAAAATTTTTTTTTGTCAATCAAGTTTTAATTTTAATTCTAAATACATAAAATTGATGTAAAAAGATATATTTTTGAGATGATCTAAAGATAATATCAAATCCAACAAAGAATATAGATGATTTATTATTGTTATTATTGAAAATTGATTTGAAGACAAACACATAAAAAAAAAAAGAAAGACATAAAGACAAAGATCAACAATTAATTCGATATTTATGTTTCAACTTTCAAATTACAAGTGTGAAGAAAGAAAAGGAAAGCAAAGAACAAGCTAAGAATAAATGGAGAAAAAATTAGTCTTTTTGTTACTTTGAGAAAAGACTTAATATTTATTATGTTTGAATCTAGGTGATTTGATTTGATGTGATATTGATCATATCTGACGTAACCTTGAAATAGTCTATGCTTAAATGACGAGTATATAATAGTGTACTTATGATAGGAAAAAACTTAAATGAAGATTTTTTGGTAAAATTTGTAAAATTTTCATCTAAAAACGATTAAATAAAAAGTTAAAATAAAAAATTAAAATTAAAAATAATAAATTCAAAGATCTATAAAGTGTGTAAAATTTGAAAAAATTTGAAAAAATTTTAATATATAATTTTATATAGATATTTTTAATAAAAATATTAAAAAAATTTTATCGTTAAATAAATATCAATTAAATTTAAATTATAAATAAATTTTTAATAATTTTTTATATATTATTGATTTTCATATCAAATTTTATCAATTTATAAATTTTAATTTTTATTAAAATTTTTATTAAATTATTTTTAAAAAATTATAAATTTTACCTACATAATTTTATGTAAATTTTTTACTAGATGGGATTATCCTTTTTCTTAAGTAGGTTGACGTCTACATCCAAAAATTTAGGTCAAGCATAAAAGGAATATTTCTAATCATTTTATCCACGTCAGATCGACGTAAAAGATAATAATATCCTTAGGGTTGAAATAGTGTAAAAGACGATTATAACCTCATGGCGTAAAATATCTAGATCACTTGAAAATATCTTTCATGCATGCAATCTTTAACACCATTAATGCTTAAGAAAAAGTTTAAGCTATTAGTTAATTATAGTATAAACATTTTGAAACTCTCTCATTTTGATATGCTAACGAAGGAAATGTGTAAGAGTGAAGAATCACCTTGGTGATTAGGTGAGCCAAAAATTGCATAAATGATCTAATAGGATGGAGTGAAACTTACGATTTATGTTGATACGAAAATATAAAATATATTTTTTATTTCATTAAATTTATATATAATTATTATAAAAAATTTAAACTATATTATTTTCGTATTTTTTTTCATATCTTATCATATATTATATTTTAAATTTACGGATCTATAATGGAATAATACAAAAGAGGGAACAAGAGGAGTCCCAATGTGTCACTCAATTGAGGGGAAAAAGAAAAAAAGGTGAAAAAGGTGGGGGAAAAAGGTATAAACAGTTTGGGGTTAAAATCAGTGAGAAAGTTAGGTGCAAAAGATTGAACATCAAAGAATAAGATTTGGACCATAGTCCATAGGATCTTATACTTTTCTATGTGCCACTGTCCATGCAGCTTAGACAAAAATGGAACCCTAGAAAGGGAACCATAGAGAAAAATTAAAAAAGAATGAGAGAAGGTACGAACTGGGAATAAAATCATAGGGTTTGCAACTTACTTGTCTTTATGCTCTCTGCTATAGTCCACTAAATCTTCCCTTGGAAAGGGACAGTTAGGTCCTTGGCTTTTCCCTTTCTTTTTTCTCCAATCTCTTGTCCAAAAATACAAAAAAAATCATTCAATCAAAGTGGACTTCCAATTCTTGAACAAACATGTTCCTGGATTATAAGAAAACCTAGGATTAGAGTTGGTAAAATCTTCGAATTCAAGTTTATTCGAACCTAATTAAAAACATGTTAAAATAATTGATCACTCGATTATGATTGTATTGTTAAAATATTCATTTAAGTAAATATTTTTTTTTACACTCTTACAGGTATGCAATGTTGGGGGAAAATTAAACTAAAAATGGGTTTGGTTAGTAAATGATTTTGCACCAGAAGGATTCTCTCGTCTTAATTGTGCAAAGGACTGTGCATGTGATTAAAAGATTCTTTTGTATCAAGGACAAACACTGATTGGCCATTGAAGAAATTAATAGCTGAGGTAGGAACTCGGAGCTGAAAGACAAGCAATGAAATGAAGAGCCAGAGATCTTGTTGGGATTTTCAGCAAGCCTTATCCAATAGGAAAAGGGAAAACCCAAGTAGGGAGATTTTGTTTGAGAAAGAGTCATTGGTTAAGGGATTTTCCACTCTCTAGTTTTGTGCCCAAAAAACAGTGTTTGGTACTAAGGTTAGCAATCCAACACGTCCGATTCGATCTTATAAAATTAATTTAAAATTAAAAAATTAAATTTTGAATAAAGTATCCCTTTTGAAAAAAATCAAAATCGAATTTAATATAAATCAACCCCAACTCAACTCAACATATATAATATATATTTTTTATTATTTATTTAATTTTATATTTATATTTAAAAATTATATTTATATTAAAAATAATATTTTATTATTTTTAATCAAATGATTATAATTTTATACATATACAAATAAATTAAACATAAAAATAATATTTTAATATCAAATCAGATTTCAATACTTAATATATAATATCGGATAAAGTTCAGCAGGACAAAAAGATAGCCATCCCGACCGGTTCCATCTATACATGCTACAAGTTTTTACTACTCGGTACTCACCGTCACTTGATCACAATTTCAGCAGGTATCAACAGACAAAAAGACCAAGTTTCTCTTTTGAATTTGAAAGGCATCTGGATCATCTTTTTAATACTTACATTGACATGGTCACAAACTGATTTGTTTAACTCGTCATGCTGTAAGGTGATGGTCGAAATTTCTGAGGGTTATTAGAATTAGATACATGCAGGATGCAGCTTTATTCCACTACCTGACACGAATTTAACATGAAAAATTTTCATATTTTACAGGCATTTAACACGACTAGAAGTACATAATGAATAAGGCCGAAGAAACCAAGAGGCAGAAGACCGTAATTGACAATCCACGGTTCAAAACCAGTTCAGGTGAAATAAAATATACAAGTTGGCCACAAGAATATTAGGACAGAGCATTCACATTAAAGCAGGTTTTCATTTAATATATACAGGTGCTAACCACAGCCAGCATAAGTAAAAGCCTCCGACATCACGATCATCATGAACATCACCCTTCATCAACATATCAACGTGATTAACCAGATTTGAAGAGCAAAACTGCTTTTTGATCTAAATAGAAATACACAAAGTGGTTGGTCTCATGCGTTACATATGAACCTGCATCAAAATTCAAGAAATCAATACTAACGCAACATAAATTTGAAATTTAAACCCAATTTTAGCTCTAATTTGTTTTCACATAAGCACAAGAAGATCGCAAAGGTAGCAAGATAATAAATGTAGTTCCATCTAGAACGGTTTAAGACCTGAAAACTGGAAGGAAATTTTCATGCAACATAGAAATTCAAAAGAAAAAAGTTCTAATCTATGTTTATAGAACAAGCATTACAACTGCAAATGCACTTTATGGATGTACATTACTGAGTACCAGTGAGAGCAAAAATAGCCTAGATACAGACATTTAAAGGATTAATGAGAACTAATAGAGGAAGTATAGCGCTATCAGTGCAAGTTTAGGAATATTGGTAATTTATCCAGGTTATGAACACCATGAGACAGTCTGCACTGAGGATTACATAATCTGGAACGAGCAAGGTGCTGTGCCCCAAAGAGAATATGGTTGGGTTAAGCTACCAATGCCTTCCCAAGATTGTAGCAGACAAAATCAGGTGACGTTTAAGAAGAATTAAAACTGCATCTTTCAAAACAGCACAATAATTTGTCAACCAGAGAACATGTCCGCAAAAAATTATACGATGAAGAGGGTGAATAGCAATTAGATTGTAGTAATATGAAATGAGCAAAGCGCTACATGAATTAATTTCTAACATAGTACTCTTACATGCTTCAAATGTATGTAATATACACTTCACTTGTACAATGTGTTTTTTTTTAGTAATGAGCATCTGATCGAAAATGTAAGAAATAAGTGGTTAATGACTGAAAAAGGTGTAATCATATACTGAAGGCAGCTAAAATTCCATGAAGTCAGAACACAAGGCAATTTAGTTTGTCCAACGGTTAAGCAGCTTATCATATGTTTCACTTAAGTTATGGTTAAAAGAGGATTAATCATCTTCAGGCAAATACCAACGTAGCTAAAATGATAGTAAATAGAGTCTTGTATAAAAAGAGGCAAGCACCTCCGTTTCAAATTCAGCACTCAAACACTACACAAAATAAGATAAAAGACTTTTCCATCTGGCCTTGCATTTTTAGCACTGAAACTTTTTTCATTTGGTATGTATGGAGGTCTCCTGGCGTTGGGTTATTCAAAGGGATATATAGCCCTATTCCATCCCATAAATCCCATCTTACCCACCCACCCCACCCCCCCCCCCATCCTCCCCTTCCTCGAATATGAAGTTTTGATCTTGAAACCTATAAGCTGAAAGTTCCAAGCTCTAACCACTTTGTAATTCAATAGACAAATATATATTACATCTGATATACAATATGAAATAGATGTCCAACCTTAAATACCATCAACTAAATGTAAACAGGATCAGTAACATGGCCGTTGGAGGTATCAAATAGGTAATTAAACATATAGATGAACCATATTAGCCTGTGTGACTAAATCCAAGCACAGCCTTGGCCATACTCAACCATTATGAAACCCCCTCTGTGAAATCAAGTAAGATAATGAAAAATAAGAACAAAATATACAACCGGTACAAACTGCGTATGAGTTAGCATTAAGAATTTGTTTTAAGCGGTGTCACTAAAGTTGAGATCCTTGATTGAATATAAAAGTTACTAGTCCTTCATCAATAACCAGATGGAGTTGTTCCTTTCATCAAGAGCAATCAATCAACTAAAAACATTTGAGATCTTAACCTCGAAATTTGATAACAATGGAAAAACTAGTCACCTTAGACTCCAAAAACAGAAGGCCTAAGCTTGACACAATCCAATCTAACATCTATAGCATTAATGATAGCTAATATTCATTGAAATTATATCTCATTTAAGCCTAGATCTACTCTGATTTCAACTAAAACAACAGCATCACATAAAAGAAATTATTTGCACAGCATAAGTAAATCAAATCTAAATGGAAAATTGGGTTACCAAAATTGCGACCAACAATGCAATGCCAAGTGGGTCCATGTCTCTTATCGAATTCCTTCTTTATGTGCTCTGCTACATCTTTCTCAACATTGTGCTTCTCAAATGCCTAATCAAAATCCCAGAAGGAGAAAGCCACTCGAAGTCAAAAAATTTACGATATTTACCAATAAACCAAGGCAAAATGAAAATACCCAGAAACGAAATCGAATAAAAAACCATAGAAAACGACACTGGATCGAGTAAAAATGGAAGCTTGAGAGGAAGAGAAAGAGAGCTAACGAAGAAGGCTATATTGACAGCTTCTTTTTGCATGTCGTCTTTCATGTCGGCGCTTTTGATGATGACTTTCTTGGCTGGTGAAGTAGCCGACTCGGCAGTAAGAGCCGGAGATAGCTTCCGTTCGTCGGTTGTCGGTTTCACCGTCAGAGCTCCGTTGACGCTTCTCTTTGCTTGTTCAGTGCTCATTTTTTTGGACTTCTTTCTTTTTTTCTTTTAATTTACCAACCAAAAAAGAAAGGAAGAGAGAAGAGAAACCAAACGAAGAGAGACTCACTTTCTCTCTCTCTTCTCCTCCTGTTTCAAGTGGTGAATGATCTGTAATTGTACTGTCAAGTTGATTTTGATACGGTAGCTTCTGTTCACACACATTGTTTTTCTTGGATATTTCGAATTGGATTTTATTTTTTTTTAAAATTATAAATTATAAATTTTGATTTAAATTTGAATCAAAATTTTTATAAAATTTGATTCAAAACAAATTTTATCAATTTTATTTTGATTCATTAATTTTTAAATTTAAATTTTTTTATTTTTTAAATATTATTCTAATATAATTTAAATAATTTAAATATAAAATAATTGTTTTATTTTATAAAAATTTTAAAAATATATACAAATTAATAAAAATATATAATTTGATTTAATTTAATTTTTTTATTTTTATTTAAAATTTAATTCAAATTTAATATATATTAATATTTAAATTTAATTCAAATCAAATAAAAAAAATTCAATTGAAACTAAACACTATTATTTTAAATTAATTTTTTATTTTTTTTATTTTTTCACTCTTATCCACATGCAATTACTATTTACACCGTAAATTCAAGATCGAAAAATTAATTTTTACTCGTTACACTTCATAATTACATTTTTTATTTTCTCTTAACACTCTTTACACTCATTTTTTTCATTTTTTTTATTGATTTTCAATTAATCTAATCCCTCAAACCCTAATCCAAAAAATCAAAGTTTCAAAGTTAATTACATCCCCATATTTCAAATTAGAGATAAGTTACCTTTAATTTTGATAGATTTTGATTAAGTGTTAAATAAATAAAAATATTAGATGAAATATTTGATAAAAATTATGAATTTCGAAAATATAAATCTAATCGCTTTTTAGAGTTTTCTTAAATACAAATTTTTAGAAAATATAAATCCAAAAATTCGAACAAATTTTGTAAAATACAAATTCAAAAATTAAATAGAAGAAGAAGTAAAAGTAAGTGTAAAAGACTGAAAAATAATTGATCACAAATTAATTAAGGAATTTTATTTATAGATATTTTTGTAATAAAAAAATAAAGCGTGAAAAGAAATTTTTTTGGATGCAAATATAATTTTTTTTTATTTTAGTGGTTTTTTAAATACTTAATTTTATTAAATAAACATAACAACCCAAACAAAAAAATGGGCAACCACCGACAAAATGGAAGTTGGGGTCAAAGTTGAAAAGCCTAATGCATGATCTTTTTCCCCATTTTTTGTACACGTTTCTCCTTAAGTATCACTCGTAGATAGAATTAAGGTATAATCGAATTGAGTCGAATTGATATAGTGAGAAGCTCGAACTTGAGCTCGGCTCCTAACTTGAGACTTGATATTTAATTTGAATTCGATCGAATTTTATTTTTTTTAATTCGAATACAATTCGTAATCGAAATCGAGTTACTCAAATTCATTCAATTAAGTTTGATTAATATGTTAAAATAAACTCGATTCTTATATTCGACAAGAATTCTATTATTTGTACTCCAATTCAAACTCAAATTCAAGATATTTTATTAATTAAAATAACAAAAAAATTTTAAATATAAAAGCTCGATTAGACTCACGAGCTACTCGAATCGGGTATAAAAATACTCGAACTCAGCTCGATCGATAAGTCGATCTACTTGAACTCAAGCTTGATTCGATAATAATTGAATCGAATTCGAATTTTATTCAAATTGAACCCGAATAACTTACGAATATTAATGTATCATTTATACCCTTAGATGGAACCATTATCTCAACTTTTTTATGGTTTAATTATAACCTTGAAACTACATTATTTTTCTCCAAAAACTCATCACTTTCCAAGGTATGTCGATTCCTGTTGTTCATCATCGGAATCATGCACAATTCTACTCCTTTTCACCAGCTTAAAAGTTGGAACAGAAGCTATATCTTCACCTTCACATTCAGACTCATCTAAGGGCTGGCTGATTGAGGTGACAATACTTTCTCTAATCCATTTCCTTCATTATCTTCGTAATCACTGCATGATTCATTTACATTTGTGTTAGATTCATGTCTTCAGCATCACCTCTTCAGCAGCTGAAGGACTGCCTGATTGAGGTTACAATACTTTTCTCTAATCCATTTCCTTCATTATCTTCAGAATCACCTAAATCCATTTGCACCATTTACACCAGGGTTAGCATCTGGGTCTTGGGAGTGATCATGTTCTCTGGCAACAGTTGTTGGGTTAAAGTTTTTGAAGTCCCATGATGTGCTACACTAGGCTTGCTTCAATAAGTTCACCTTGGTCTTCTTGCTAAAGTCGAATGAGATCAAAATGCAACTGGTCATGGAAACATCTGAAATAAAACTGCATGAAGGGCACAATGGCAAGAAGATTTAGGTCTATACTTGTTGCAGCTCAGCTGCCACAATGTTATGGAGTGGAATGGTTAGCTGCTTGTAAGTTAGTTCTACGAGCTTCTGGAATGGAAGGCTTGGTAAATGCTGCTTCTGACCTTTCGGAGCAATCCTGAGCTTTGACATCTGATCAGCTAAATGCTCTGTTTGGGTATACATGTATTGCATAATGTGATAAAGTCAGTCGCAAATAAGAGAAAGGCTGAGATTCAGATGTTAATGCAAAGAGCAAACTTACCCTTAGGACTCATCAAAACAAAGGAAGATAATACTGTTGGGAATATTGACTCAAATTTTATAAGAGATTTGTTTGAGATTTGTTTGGAATTTATCAGATATTGCTTGATGGACAAGAAGACTTGCAAAAGAAGAATTTCAAGAGAAAGAAGATTCTTAATAGGTAAGTTTGACAGAGAAAAATTCTAAAAGGAAAGAGATTCTTAATAGATAAGTTTGACTTACAGAAGAATTTTAAGAGGAGAGGGATTCTTAATGGGCAAGTTTGTATGGTTATATATAGGTGAAGTCTCTACAGGGTTAGGTATGAGAAAAAGATGTAAGAGAGTTGTAGAGTTTTGTGGGATAGACACCCCATAGGAGTATTGGGGCTCTATATCTTATGGGTGTGTATGTTTGTTTATGAGTGGACTAGAGGAGATTGAGAGGGTCCACATATGTATGATGTATGAAAATATATGGGTATGTGTTTTGTTGTGTTGAAAAGGTACACAAGAGTTTGAGTTTGTGTTTGTTTGGGTAGAGAATACTTCATAGGACTAGAGGAGATTGAGAGTATCTTATGAGTATTAATTGTTGAGTGGGATTGATGATATGATGTATGTTTGTAATTCTCTACAACTAGTAGATCTTGTTTCTCATCCGTGGATCTTGTTTCTCATCCGTAAATGTAGGTCAGTTGGATCGAATCACGTTAAATTATTGTCTCTTGTGTGTTTGATTTATTATTTGATTTCGCTTTCGTTGGTGTGATTAGATTGGAGGCTTTTAGCCCAACAAATGGTATCAGAGCTGTGATGTTTCCCAACAAGTGGTATCAGAGCTGTGGTGTTCCCCAACAAGTGGTATCAGAGCTGAAGGTTCGAAACATGAGAAGAGTTGAAGATTTAAGATGTGGAAAGAGCTAATGGTTCGAGACATGGGAAGAGTTAACAGTTCGAGATATGGGAAGAGTTTGGTTTAAGACATGGGAAGAAATAAGCTTAGAAGAGCTCAATTCAAGAGTTTGAGTTCAAGTTTTGAAGATTGAGGATTAGTTTGTATGAAGCGTAAAGACACAAGAAAAGAGAAGATGATTGTGAGACTTTCATTGCAGGTGGAGCCAAACATGTCTAGCATGAAGATAGATGATTGATGAAATTTGAGTCAAGGTGGAGATTGTTGGGAATATTGACTCAAATCTCATAAGAGATTTGTTTGAGATTTGTTTGGGATTTGTCAGATATTGCTTGATGGACAAGAAGACTTGCAAAAGAAGAATTCCAAGGGAAAGAGGATTCTTAATAGGTAAGTTTGACAGAGAAGAATTCTAAAAGGAAAGAGATTCTTAATAGGTAAGTTTAACTTACAGGAGAATTTTAAGAGGAGAGGGATTCTTAATGGGCAAGTTTGTATGGTTATATATAGGTGAAGTCTCTACATGGTTAGTTATGAGAAAAAAATGTAAGAGAGTTATAGGATTTTGTGGGATAGACACCCCATAGGAGTATTGGGGCTCTATATCTTATGGGTGTGTATGTTTGTTTGTGAGTGGACTAGAGGAGATTGAGAGGGTCCACATATGTATGATGTATGGGAACATATGGGTATGTGTTTGGTTGTGTTGAAAAGGTGCACAAGAGTTTAAGTTTGTGTTTGTTTGGGTATAGAATACTTCATAGGACTAGAAGAGATTGAGAGTGTCTTATGAGTATTGATTGTTGAGTGGGGTTGATAATATGATGTATGTTTGTAATTCTCTACAACTAGTGGATCTTGTTTCTCATCCGTGGATGTAGGTCAGTTGAACCGAATCACGTTAAATTATTGTCTTTTGTGTGTTTGATTTATTATTTGATTTCGCTTCCGCTGGTGTGATTGGATTGGAGGCTTTTAGCCCAACAAATGGTATCAGAGCTGTGATGTTTCTCAACAAGTGGTATCAGAACTGTGGTGTTCTCCAACAAATACTTCAACAACTGCTTTGATCTTCGAGTTAAGATTTTCCTCAAATGCCAACCCTGAATTATGCTCTCCATTCTGGTTAAGACGAGTGCTTTTTTGAGCGGCTTGTGGTTAGATATAACATCAGTTGGGTTAGGACGAATTTTTACTCGTTTTAAATTTAATTCGATTTAATATTAAAATATTATTTTTATATCTAAATTTGATTTGATCTGTAAATTTTAAATTTGCAATAGATTCAAAATTAATAAAATATTTTTTAAATATAAAAATAAAATAATTTAAATATTATATAAATATAAAATTAAATAAATAATAAAATATATGTACCGAGTCAAAATGAATTTGCATAAAACTCAACCTTAACCAAAACTTAATTTTAATTTTTTTTTTAATATCCAATCCAACTTGAAATTTTATTTTAAAAAATAATTTTATAAAATTGAGTTAGGTCGAAATCCAATGAATACAGA